GTCCTACCTCTTAGCGCACTTGCCGCTTAATTTAGCGGACTATTGCGATACTTTACTATTCATAGGTGTGGGTGTGGGCGTGGGCGTGAGGTGGGTCTTGATGTGGGCGAATAGGACATGGCGCCCCCATCCTCACACCCACACCCTCGTAAAACTACTCTCGCGTGATGTCACCTTCATACTTCACATGGGAATGTAGATCAGAGAGGGACAAAGAGATGGAGTTGGGAAAATATCCTTCTTCTCTTATGTATCCTGTTTTCTCTGCCTCTGTCTGACCCAATATATGCATCCATACTTTTTCTCTTCTTCTTTTTTTTATGATTCAATTCTTTGTCTCATCACTCAGTGGAAGAAATACAGAGGCAGTAGTAGCCGTAGGGTTGTCTTTGAGTTCTTTCTTTTGATAGTATGTTGCTGAGAGTCGACTAAAATAACGTACACACGGAATCGGGGTGTACACAAATAAAATTATTGTTTGTTTTTGGTAGTGTATAGTATATACCTGTAGTGATTAGAAGCGGAGTGCTCCTAGTGTTATGACCTGCGTGTCCTTTGGATGCAGTCATAAGAAATGTCCTTCTTGTTCATATCATGGATGATGTGCTCCCTCCCTCTCTCTCTCTCTCTTCATTCTCTTTCCTTTCCTTCGCTTCTTGTGTTTTTGTTTTCTCTTCTGTTCACCGATATATCGACTGTTCCTTTCCTTTCTCCTTATGTGTCCGGGATTTTCCTTTTATTTCTGTTCTTCTTTCTCTTACGTCTTCCGATGGATTTATTCTTTCATGTTCTCCATCGTATGGTTTTCTCCCTTTTTCGTGTCTTGCCATATATAGATATGAAATCTGTGTAAACAGGGGGATATAGACAGATAATGAAATAAACGATAAGCTAGGAATAAAAGCTCCTCACATCTAGTTAATTATTTAAAACTTATTATTACATAAATTCTCTCAGTTTGGATTACCCGAGCGGTCTTAATTATATCGTACATACTCTTTGACAATTGGTTATTCATTACATCATCAAGATATATACGCATTTCTATATATCTTGATACATATTTGAAAAATATTTATTTATACAAACAGAACAAGCAAGTTCAAACTAACGTAAATATTTTCCCGTTACAGTCAGCCCTATGTACTAAGAATGTTCTGAGCAAGAAAATGAAGAATCATATTAAACTATATCTAAATCATATATGAAATCAAAGATTCAGGAGTGGTGGCCCGTGGAGATGCCCACGACCGAGTGCAAACAAGTTCTTCAGGTTCACTTAAGAAAATCTTAGCACAAAATAGAGAAGGCCGGTATTTTGACAGAATGATCGTCTTTATCTATAGCATTATATAGTTTTTTTCATATGAGTGTATGTGTTCAGCATTTTTTCTCAAAGCAGAGTTCAGCAAACAGTGGAAGACGATGATTAGATCAAATTCAATGGAGTCCATCGGATCGTGGCGACTAGCGTTACTTGTTAGTTTTGCAAAATTAAGCTGCTAAATGATCATCACAATTATCATCGTTACCATCTGAAGCAAGATTATATGACTCTCTTTTTTTCTTTCTCATCAACTGTATACATGATATAGGTATCCGCTGATACATTTATCGTCATTCAAAGCAGCAAAATGGCGATGATAGAACAAAACAGATGATATCACTGACGAGGGAACATATCCAGGTGTCAAGTCGTCTTTAGATCGAGGATGTGCACAAATGATAGACCTCACTGAGTTATGAAATGCCCACGAATGCTTTGGTTTTCTAGCCTTCTATGGCCGAGTTATGAGCCTTTTACTCGACTTTGGCCTATGGACACAGGATTTCTAGGAGAACCTGAATGATCGAATTTGGCACTGAAATTTTGTCCATATGTAGGCCTTATTAACACTGGAAACTCTTCACAGTTTGAGTGCGAACTAACATATTCTTATCGAGATATCAGCCTGTCATGAAAATGCCCGTATTTTGAACGAGTCGAAAGCAGGCATTTCTTTAAAAGATGAATATGTTGATAAATATATGTTAGTTCAGGCTCAAGCTGTGGGGAGTTTCTAGCGCTAATAAGGCCTATCCATGGAGAAAATTTCACTTCGAAATTCGATCACTCTGACTCTCCGAAAGATTCTATGCACATAGGCGAAAATCAAGTAAATGGCTCCTAATTAGGGGTGGTACGTTAACGTTAATTTCAAATTAACGTTAAATAAAACCATTAACCGTTAATATTAACGAATTAACGCTTCTAGCAAAACCGTTAACCGTTAATATTAACGGTTAACTAATACGTTAACGTTAATATTAACGTTAACTTGAACCGTTAACGTTAATATTAACGGTTAACGCTTTCAGTTAACGTTAATTTTAACGTTAACGGTTTTTACTTAACCGTTAATTTATTAGAAATTAACGCATTAACGTATAAACAACAGTGAGATCGTTTTATTTCGATTTTTTTTCATGGAAAAATCAACATTCACACAATAACTATTTTCATGCTGTAGATGAGGATATTCCCTCGACTGTAGGGAGGGTCATATGAAAAAAAATAAAATGCGTTTGTTTGCTTGCTTGCTTGCGTGATTGGGGTCAAAAAAACATATATGAGAGTGTAGCTTATTTTAAGATTTTCCCCTGTATTGATCAAACGTTGGTATAGGTTGCAGAGGGTCCTGAATCCGAATCCGAAGCGCATTCGTGTGGGCGGTGTTTCATTGGCCGAGGGACTGCGAAGCAGAAACGAACTTTAGTATTGTAAGACTTTTGACCATTTCGAGTGAACTCTCGTATTCCCTCGGCTGTAGGGAGGGTCATATGAAAAAAATGCGGTTGTCTGTGTGGGTGTCTGTTTATGGCAGGTCAAAGTAACATCCATGAAACGTGAGCACATTTTAACGTTTTTCGGTGTTTGGATAAACTTTCGCTAGAGGTTAGCGATATCGAGGAATCCGAATCAATGATAAGATTTTAAAAATTTTCATTTTTGAGCATTAGATTTTTTCAAGTACATGAAGACTTTTTCGGGAAAAAATGAGTGTCTATAAAGTTTGACAAGAAGTAATCGAGGTCGGGGAATCTGAAACCATGGTCAGATTTTTCATATTATTAGTTTTGGTTTTTCCAGAACTCAGGAAAACGTTTTTAGGGAGAAAATGTTTTTAAATAAAAGTTGGACCATAGTTAATCGGGTTCGAGTATTCCGAATCTGTGATTAATTTCTTGAAATGAAAATCTCTTATTATGAGAACTAAAACGTAACTTTAGCAGTTCTGGGTAACTCCGAAACTTGAATCAGAAGGAAACGCTCACGAGGAAATAATTGATTCTGTATATACCATGGAGTAGCATTCAATCTTAAATTTGAGTGCTCTTTTTATTAGTAGATGTTGGAATGAACTAGGGTATAACTAAAAAGGTATGACCACAATTGGAATTCGACCGGAATATGGCTGTGGCTAGTTGTGAGGGGCGCTTACGAACGACTAGCTGCTGTCTAGAGCAGTCATCAAATTCCGCAATGTTGAACATTAAGGAACCAGTTCCGCCCCGGAATCAGTTCCGTCGATTCCGGAATTAGGTCAAATGTGAACACTGTCCGATTCCGGAGCTGGTTCATCCGATTCCGGAATCGTTTCGCCCGATTCCGGAATTGCTTCGCTCGATTCCGGAATTGCTTCGTCTAGGACTATAACAGTTCGGAAATAGTTCAGTTCAAAAGAACTGTTCGAACAGTTCGTTTGAACTAGGCATGCACCAATACCAAAATTCTTGGTTTTGGTGATTTGGTTTCGATTTAGTTTTGGTATTGGAGTATTGGATTTGATATGGTATTGACAGTTTTGATATTGGGTTTGATTCGGCTTTGGTATCGATAGTATCGTTTTTGACAATGTTTTGGTTTTGTTTTGGGTTTTGACATATTAGTTAAGTACATGTATTTTGATGAAACAGATCCTAGATGCATTCTTATGAATGCTACTAATTATCGATTGCCAGTTCAACTAGATTTGCAATAGTGTAATACGTATTAAGGAAAAGCAAATCTTTTTTCTTAATTGTGTGTTAATGATGATTAAAATAGCATTTAAAATTATCGACATCTTCATCTTAAACGCGCGGTTTGAAGAATATTCTTCTAGCAAATCGACTGAAAAATTTTCATATTATAACCATCAACAATTTCTAAAAAATTTGGAAACAAATATCACAGCGTGGCAAATTACGTTTGATTTAAACACATTGTCTATCTGTTATCTATAGCATCAGAATATGTTCTATTCTTATTCAATTAATACCACCTACTAATTTAATACTATGATTAACCTTGCTATCCACGAAGTTAAAGAAGCAAGTTTTGCAACTATATTATCTGTATTGTGTGCGTATGAGAATGTGTAACATGACATATTATTAATTTTTTTTTATACGTCAATTATTTTGAAGATTTATCCTTCAATTGAAAAATTATTCTGAACAAAATTTCTTGGATAACCTAATAGAGTATTAATTATAGATGTAATCAATGTTATAATAAAATTTCAAACGAAAAACATTATTCTTGTCATTCCTTCAGAAAGAACAGTAATATATTCAACATGATGCAATTTCGTAAAATTACATCTTAAAATTTACCGCACTAGCTTCGTTGTGATTCTGTTTAGATTAGAAATAAGAAATACGTTCAATTATTATTGTATGATATTTTTCTTCTATGTAATATATAATACCTATAATTTCCAATTCACTTTTATAAAACACGTTTAATCACATATGGATCATACATCATTCTTTTATTCTATCAATATCAATAAGTGGTTATCATGGTCATCATTTGTACATAAGCAACAAAACAAAACTTTAGCATAGACAATAAATACTAGAAAAAAATATAATCGGAAAAGACAATAATGACGAAAAAAAATAACTGTTCGTAATAAATTCTATACAAATATATAAAAAAAACATCGATTTTGAGTACTGTATAGTTTAAATTTTCATATATTGAATTCACTGTCGATTTTATCTTTAAGAAACATAGTCGAAGACAAATTTTCAGGTGTTAATCTGGATCGTTGTTTCCGAAACAAATACGATGCTGTGCTAAAAGCACTTTCAGATGCGACAGAAGTTGCTGGAGTAACAAGATGATAAGTAGCATATTTGTACAAATACTTGAATTGACTTCGATGCATATTCCAAAACTCCATCTATAAGATCGAGAAAAAAATAGTTGGTTTCAAAATCAAAAAATGATTTCATCAAACATACGGGATTTGAATATTTTTCATCATTAACTATACTATTATATTCTCGTTGAGCCAAAGATCTATATACGGACATTTCCTCCATTAACTTCTTTTTGTTTGATTTGACGATAGATGATAATGAAGATGGAGCTAAAAATGTTTTACCAATAGAATTAATGAATTTGTTCATAGAAGAAGATTTCGATTCCACAGATTTTCGTTGAGTATTGGTTTGTAATTGTATTTCATTAACATCGACTTCATCAATAACTTCTTCATCGGCAAGTTGTTCATCTAATTCAATAAGATTCGATTCACATTCACGCTGTTCTCTTCTTGTTAAACAACCAAAAGCAATTGGATCGAAATAGGAATGCATCTTGAAATATAAGAGAATTTTTAATTGAATATAATACGAATTAAAATCTTACTTGTATAGTTTTCAATTGTGTATGATTATCAAAAAAATATTTTTGAACTTGCTTTAATAATAAAGATTTCAAATAATATAATATTTTCCAATCGTGAACAGTATGATCGTTGATATCTTCGAGAAATTCTCGAATTTGAAAAATAACAAAATAGCTCATGCCAATAGTTGGATATTGGCTACCACTAACAAGTTCCGTTGCATGTACAACAGGTTTCAAAACAAATTCAATTAATTCTAATATCTTCCAATCCTCTTGATCTAATTCAATCAAAGAAAGTTTTGTTGTTTGTTTTTTATTAAGACCAATATCATATTTTTCACTATTGATTTTGTAAATAATTTTTTTGTACATTAACATTCCTTCGACTAAATGATATGAAGAATTTCAACGACTTTTACAATCTAACTGGAGGGATCGATTGATTTTGAAGTGTTTTTTAATATTAGATATATGATTCATTAAAATTGAAGATTTATTAATCAATTTCACGAATGATCTCGACTTTTTCATGACATTACCAATGTGTTGTTGTATGGAATCATATGCAGATGGATCCATATATTCAATAATATCAATTGACCAATTATCCATAATATCCATTATAAATTCATCTGATTCTTCATCAATTGATACTCCACTTACACCAGCATCAGCATGATTAATATTACAATTTTGATTGGTCGTAAGTAATGATTGGTCTGATGATGCAATCATATTCGACGAGTTATTAGCTTGTGGTGATTGTGGAACAACTTGAATATCATCAGTTAAATCTTCTTCATCGGAATCAATTTCATCTGTATTATTTGATATTGTAGGAACAACTGATGAAGATGATTCGCGTTTCTTACGAATCCAAAACCCAAGACCATTACATATTACCAAATGAAGTCGATGAGCAATACCTAAAGATAGATTTTTATATGAATATATAGATTAAAACAGCATTACTAACAATAAATCTGTTTTATATCACCACCAAGCATTTGAGCTGCTTTCAGCATATTTGCAGCTCCATCAGTTGTAATCGAACGTGTTTTTTCAAATATATTTAATTCTTTCAATTCGTTTTTAATAATCATTGAAATATTAGAAGAAAAATGACGATGATGAAATGATGTGAAAGAAAGAATTTTTGAAATAAATTGATTATTAGATGATATGTAATGCCCAGTTAAGCACATATATGATTGAAGACGTTTATCACTCCAAAAATCACAAGTAATACCTAAAGATTGAACATTTGCCAGTTCTTTAATTAATAATTCTTTCTGTTCAGATTCAAATTGTTTTAAATTACGTTGAACTGTATTGCGATGAGGTGGAACATAACCTACGTACAACATATATCATAAAAATAGCCAAAAACATGATATGTTTCTTACCTTCCACTAAATGATTGAATACTTTTAGTATACCTGATTGACCCATGTCACTAAAACTTCGACCATCTTCAATAATACATTTGATTATTAACGTATCAAGTTTTTTCTTTTGTTCAGGTAAAAGTTGACAAGATTTTGAACGTAATTTTGTTGATGTTATTCCAAATGCTTGAAGTTTATGAACTTGATGCAAGTGTTTTCGTAAACCTGTTGTTGCTCCATTTTTACGACTTAAAATAACACCACAAACACCACACTTTGCCTTTTCATTTATCTGTTTTTCCATGTAATTCCATAAATTATTAACATTGGTACCACTCGGTTTAATTGTATTTGTTTGATTGATATCCATGCTGTTTGTATCGATTGAATGATGTGTATCGGTATTTTCAACATTCATGATTAATTATCTTGAAGTATTTGTACTAAATAATGATCAATATTTGTTTATGACAATAAATGTTGTTCGAAAGACCACGATAATTAGAAAAGCTCGACCACGTCTATGCTGGAAATAAATCGGTAGAGTTATGACGAATGCGAAGTTAATTTTTCCGTTAAGGACAAAAACCGTTAATATATTTGAATAGTCCAATCTTGTATCAATCTTTCAATGGAAAAGGAGGTAGATTTTCTTGAAAATAATTTAAAAAAAACATTGTTGGAGAAACCAAAACTTAGGCGAAATAAAACTTTAAAAAAAATACTTTCGATGTCTTTTTGAAACAAATATTTCGTTTTTTAAAGATGGCACTATGTTGTATGTAGATCTTCATTTACTAAAGAGTAAAACTATTCGAACAAATCAGATCAAAATGAGTTGACTAAATATATATATATATATATATATATACATATATTTATATGGAAGTTAGATAACAAATTTAAAATGAGTGAAGTATCAGGCAGCAAAATTTAACTACAGAACTGGAGTAAACGGTTCATCTCGATGTCTTTCGATTAGTATCAGCTGATGAAACAACTGACCTTTGATATTTTCTGAAAGATATTAAAAGTACTACATGTATGATATATCCCGACGATCATGTGAAGGGGGGGGGCGGTGTACCCCCCCCCTTTAAAAAAAATAATTAATTGGAATAAGATAGTTTAAAATTCAA